AAACGCACAGCATCACACACGGCGGCCTTGAGTGAGCGGAGGCCTGAGGGATAGAGTGAGCGGCAGCCGGCAGCTAGAGTGAGCGACGACCGGCGGATACGACGAAGGAGCAGTCGGCGGGCTTGCGGCAACCACATGTGACGACCCCGGGCTGTACTCCGCTTCGTCTACGGTGAAAGCCGATCCGGTGATCCACAGTGCAAAGTTGATGTATTCCCTCAGCGACCAGCACGGATCAGCTCTAGGCATGACGAAGCGGATATCCACAGCGTCTTCACGACATGGCGGCAGCAACAATACTACAATGAGAATAAAAGTTACGCCTTCTTTCTTTGCGTGAACATTTGGGTGGCGTTATGCAAATCTTCCCACATCGTGACGTAGACATGTGGAGGCGTGTTAGAACGAGCCATTTTAGGTAGGCGTGGTTGACTCTTAACTTTTACAAAGAATATCTCTTTGGATTTGAGACTTTAGTCTTTGCAATTTTACAGATCTTCTTTATGCACCAAGAGCTTGTAACACTCCAAAGAGAAAGGAAAAATTGAAATCGCATCATATGACCCCTTTAATGTGAAGAACATTTTAATAACCTAAAGAACCTTTTTCCACATAAAGGGACCCTCAATGCCAATAATAACTCTCGGCCACAAACTTTCTTTTTAAGTGAAATACAAATTAATATTACTTTGCAAAGTTTTATCAAATCAGTTGTGCAACTTGTGCTACAAATTAAACAATGTACAAATTCAACAGTGCTATGCTATAAAAGATGTATGATGCTTGACATCACAATAAATTGTCCACAGACTAATGATGGACTATTGCTTTGGACTATATGACTACAGACAATTAAATGTGAAATACTGCTGTTGTAAAATGAAAATGAATTGATAGTTTAATGCATTTATGTGTTTGAAGTTCCCTCAAATCAGCATTTCAGTTAAAAAGCAAAATAGAACTTTCTATTTATATTTCTGGTTAAAGCCAAGTCAAGAAGACATACCAGTTATAAGAGGACACAGTATTGCGAGCAGGAATAGATTCATCCATGGTTCACACTCCATGATGTTCTTGTCAGGTTCACACAGCAAATGAAACAACAACCAGAGAAGGACACATATTTATAGAGCAAAGTAAACAAGAGGAAGTGACCATGGACATGCACTATTCTGTCAAATACTTTGTCAAGGTAAAACTCACTTGATTTTTTTCGTACATGGACCCTTAAAATCATTGATCTTAAAATGATCTTAAAACTGATTCTGAGAAATTCTTTATTTTTCCTTAAACTACACTGAAAAAATTCTACTAAATTTTTTAAGGTAAGTGGTTGCAAACAATTCATTTTAGCTACAATTAAATAAAAAAATGATGAAAGTTAGTCAACTAAATTTGTTTATTTAAATGTAGCTAAAATAAATTGATTGCAACCACTTACCTTAAAAAAAACTAGTAAATTCAATGAATAATTTTTTTCAGAGAAAGCAGGATGGGCCAATGGGTGTTGGCTGAAATTTAGTAGTGTGCTGGGAAATTGCATTCATAGGCCAATAGGTCATCTCAAACGAGTGTTGCAATAATCTTCACCCCAAATTTCCATACAGTACTTCTCCTTTTAATGTTTCTATTTTTTCTGTCATAAAGAATCATGTTACTGGAAATGGTAAAGTAAGATTTAAAAGAGCATTTAAGATGTAATTCAGTATGCTGTAGAAGGATGCAGATGGTGATTGACAGACATTGATTGACAATGGATGAAATGAAATGAAGTAAAGGATTGGATCTTTACTGTTACTATCGCTTGTATCACATAAAAAGTCAACATTTAATAAGAGAAAATTGTCAGAATTTGACTTATTTAAAATAAATATTAATATGCATTATGCAGTGTTAATATTGTCTTTAATGTTCATTTTATACAGTCCTTTTTTTGTTGCTGTGGCAAAAATATACTGCAGTGTTTGATTCAGTTTTTTTGTAATTGTTGCATTGAGAAATAAATAGTGCAGCACCAAAACCACTATGATGAAACCCTGCAAAACCCCCTTTGTTGCAATCATAAACTATTTGCGGAAAATTGTTTCTGTTTCTAAATCTGTGACATATTTGGGACATTTATGAGTATAAAATTGAATGGGAACAGCATATAGCAAATTTTGGAGCAGGTAACAAGTACTTTTGTAACAGGTCTTGTTTTGTTCTTATTCTTCTCATACAAACTACTCCATTTTATGGTTTCATTTCTGCATATACTTTTTGTCAAATTTTATTGTGCATGATTTTAATATGTTTATTATTTTCAATTAGATACACAACTTCCACAGAATCATATACCAGTCTACTGATTTTCTAGCTAATCTGGTGTCCATGAGACGAGACTATAAAATTCAAAAATGTTTCCCATTGAATCTAATATAGGTAACTTAAAGTTAATCATCTACTGTAAACAAATTTTGATATGTGAAGAATGGGTTTCCCAAGCTGAGTCATGGTTTCTTACAAGGTTTTTTCCTTATCCTCTATAATTATATTTCACCGTAACAATCGGTTTACTGGTAGTGCTAGAGTTCTATTTACAGGAACTGCGGGCAAAAAAAGAAAATCTAGCTTCATCAAGACTATGTACAGTGTTGGGGAAAGTTACTTTTAAAAGTAATGCGTTACAATATTGCGTTACTCCATACAAAAGTAACTAATTACGTTACTTAGTTACTTTTTATGGAAAGTAATGCGTTACGTTACTTTTGCGTTACTTTTTTAATCTGGACAGGGCTTGCTTGTTTGTTTTTAAAATAAAAAAGTTATATTTTTGGCAAATATAAAAGCCTTTTCACACCAAAAGTGAAATGAATAAGCCTCAGGCTGAAGGGAAAGTAAATTTACGTCCGTACAGTAGAATGCAGAAGAAGAAATTTCAACACACTTCAACAATAAAAAAAGACACACAAATGTTTGTTACTTGTAATGCGTTACCCCAACACTGACTATGTATGTGTGCAGTTTCACGCACTGTTTAAGGATAATCATAGATGATGTTTTCAACAGTGGCGGCTCGTCGGGGGGAGGCACAGCTTCCCCATAATTTTGAGGTGAAAATGGGAGGAGGACGATTTAATGTTAATAAAACTCACAATTCATTTCAGTTCATGTCTCAGAATGTGTATTTTGTATTTTGTAATTTCACAGTTGTAATACCATAACGTGAAAGCGCCGCTTTTCTATCAAGTGATAGGCCAGGTTAGTGAAATTATATTATCTTGCTGAATGTTTGTCGTTTGCTTTATGTTTTCTGACTAAAAGCAACCAAATAGCCATTTTAAAGTGGTTAAGCAAATAATAATAATAATAATCGGCAGGGATCCCAGACCAATACAATTAGTGTGCCTCCTCTATTTTAAAACTCAGGAGCTGCCACTGGTTTTCAACACCCTCACATGTTTGCTCAATAAAAAAATTGCACAGAATGGCTTATGTACTGTGTGTTTGGAATGCGTTAACATGACAATGGTTCTTGTCTGATCAATGCCATAGCTGTCATTTTTCATGACATTTTTCATATTCTCTCCATTTTACTTCAGCCCCAAAACAGCAGGTTTAGTGACATACAGTTAGGCTTTTATTACTTGCTATTATCATTTTCAAGACAGATGGAAATAAGTTGTGAAATTGCAACAATAAGGAAACTCCCCTGCCTGCCAGTGGTTGGATATTCAGTACAGACTACAAAGACATAACATTAAATCAGTAAAACATGAAAGACAGTTGATAATAAACTGGATTATTTGTTAAAAAAATTTTAACAAAGACCAGCTATTTGACTTAAAATTGAATATACTGATCAGAAAACAAAACAGTGTTTTCTCAGCCTGCAATCACACAGATTCAGTCTGCTAAAGCATTCACAAGAATTTAAGAGGGTTTCCTATACGGTCATTTTCTAGGTGTTCTTTAAGGAATGAGCGTATCTTCTCACTGAAAAGATTTGAATGGTAATCTCTGGAGTCTGCATCTGAGGTGAATTTCTTTGATTCCTTGCAGATGTCCTTCACTCCCCAGCTTATGATACCAACCTATTAAAGATTTTACAGATATCAAAAAAGTTCCTATTTCTCAGCTTCTCTCAAATTAGTCTTTAATTTCACCCTGTAATATGTAACACATTACAGAGACTTTACAGCCACGTCATCAATACAGTTTTCAAAAGAAAATGGAAATCTCACCTGAATCACTCGACCTTTTTTATTCACATAAGAGGCTCCACCTGAATCTCCTGTTATAAAATGCCATGCAGACACAAGAAACTATATGAGAATTGTATAAATTTTTCAGAATTGATTAAATTGTTATCAATTCAATTTTTATGACCTAAAGAGTAGATTAGAACCAAATACAAGCTGCCGTCTTGATTGCAAAAATCAAACATACCTTTGCAGGCAACATCATCTGTTTTTGGTTCAATACCACCACTGCACAGAAAATTGTCTGTGACCGCTTCCCAGGCATTTTTCACCTCAATTCCTTTTGCTTTTATTGCATCTTCAACACAAGCATCTCGCTAGAGAAAAAGTACACCAAAAAGTGTTCTTATCTTGATGATGATGACTAAATATGTTTTTTTTTTTAATTCATGAGAGATTCAAATAATATGTTTTCTGATGTTTTTAACATATTTAATGCTAAATGCCTAAATGAAACCCAAGTGCTAGAAAATGGTAGTGCAGGAATGATTGCATTGATTAATGACACTTTAAAGGCCCCATGAAATCAAAGTTAAAGTGATGTTGCTTTTAGTTGGTTTATATAGTTGAGTAATTCTAAATGTTGACAATTTGAGAATATTTTACTTTAAAATGCTATGAGGTCTGACATCTCAAATGAATAAACTGCCTCTGCATAAATAAACATAAATTAAGCTTTTCAAACTACACATGATTAGAAATGAGAAAAATCATTACATATTTTCCAAGCTTGAATGTGATGTTTTTTATTGTTTTCGGACTATTGCCTTTTTCACTATCCATATCAGATGCGAAAGCAGCTTCCACAAGCTCGTTGCTCAATAGTATTTCCTCTGTAACAAATGCATAAAGCAAAAACTGACATTTTATGTTTGATATGTTTCATTGCATAAAAGCAATGTCACATGTTTAATATGTATGTTTCATACGTTCTGATATGATTCTTATATGCATGCAGCATGTCTGACAGGGACCTTACCATGTTTTCTGCACGACCCTTCACTTTCTGAAAGTTTCAGAGCTCCATTGGTTTCTTTGGTGCATGGGATGCAGATTGGTCTGTAGAGAAATACACATGATGTTATTTAATTCGTTTAGATTTTTTTCTTCTTTTTTTCATGTTCTTACTAAAGTAACATCACATGATGAAGATCTGTGCTCCTCACCGTAGATTAGAACTGATATCAACAGGTTTTTCCAGCTGTATAAGAGCTACATCAAATTCGTAAAATTCCTGTATTCCCATTTCCAGTTTTGCGATGAGGTTATAGTCAGGATGAATTACATATTTTTTTACTTTTACAACTGCAAAAGGAAATGTAAACATCATTAATAAGATTTACCCTGTAACACGTTTTTTTTTTTTTTTGGTCTGAAAATATGGACGTATCAGGACATACCCATATCTTTTTCCAGTTTAACTGTTATCTTATCAGGCATGTCTCCGTCTTTGAAGCAGTGAGCCGCTGTCAAGATGTAACTTGAGGTAACTAATGACCCCATGCAATTGGAACCTTTTGAAGGACGCTACATGAAGTGCAGAGAAGACTGATGTTCATATAGCTCACGTGGTTCAACTCTTTAGCCATAACATGCATGTCTCTTCTTCTTGTGGGAGAAAATGTTCCTTTAACTTCAATGAGTGTTTCCTTTAAGGTAATTAAGTTCTCTATATAATAAAATGATAAAAAGGTTCTGCTCACAACAATATTAATCTGTGCCAACCAGGGAAATGCACGGCGTTTATTTTCCAAGCCTTCCCACACAATCCCACACAATCCTACACTGGTGCTCTCATCTGTGTAAGGAAGCAGGTACACAAGAATTTAATCACTCATTACATACACGACGTTCCTTAAATCAGGACTTAAAGAAACCATTCATTATTCTGGAAATGTAAATTCTGTCAACATATATTCACCTCCATGTAGATCCAAACCTGCATAACTTTCTCTCTTCCATAAAACACAAACGGAGACATTTTGTAGAATGTTCCCAAAATCTCACTGCTCATGCCACATATTTAAACTAGTGCATTCATACACAGAAGAACTAATGATATTTTCCATCAACGGAATCAAACCTGACTTGACACAGCTAAAGGCACCATGTTTTAACCACGTTTTTTTTTTTTAACTGATGCATCCAAACAATAGTGTTATTGTAATTTTCAAATGTCTTTTCTTAGAGTTTGACATTAATTTCTCTTTTTGTGTTCCACAGAAAACATCAACAACATGAAGGTGATTAAATAATTACAGACATTTCACTTTTGGGTGAAGTATAGATACAGTACCAATCATGTCGTCAAACATCTGCTGAACCTTTGTCAAGTCTTGAAGCTTAAAGAAATATTTTTCTTGGTCCCTCTGTGACACTAAGCCATTCACGTCTTCTTGATTCACGTCTTCTCCAACTCCAAATACATAAAGATCTGGAAAGAGAGGATAGATCCATATCAATATGAAATCAATGATAAAAACTTCTAAACAAATATGTGTATTTTTTGCTGCCCCTGATGATACTGCTTGATAATGAAACACACTTTAAAAAAATACTTATAGTCCAAGCATTTTAAATATAATTATGATGAATACATTTCATTGCTCACCAAGTTTCTTCTCTCGCTTTGGATCATTTTTGATGACAAGACGTTTGATCTGGTCCACTTTAGGTTTGGGATTCCCCCCCATGTTTGCGTGACCTATGAAGTAAGATGAGATAAATTACAGTTAATATTTGCTTCAAAGTTGATTTCTATTCTAATTTGTAATACTGTGCATGGGTATTTTATGAATATATTCATTTATTTGTTCTGATAAAGAACTTAAATTGAGTAAGCGCAAAATAAGAAAAGTACAGATACATATGCTTATACTAAATTGTTTGTAAATATTGATAAGTCAGTACCATCACTGAACAATATGATGATGTGTTGCGTCTCACTGAAGGCTGTTGCATTGTTGAGCTCCTCTATGTTCATGCTCTCTTCAATGGCTGAATAGACTTTGGCAATATTGGTACCTGTTTTCTCACCTTTCTCTGTTTTTTTTTTCACATCAGAATATTACAGTTAGCAGAGAAACATTTTCTGATTGAAACAACTGACTAAATTTAAATTAAAATGAATCAAAATTGCAACATGAATTGGGATTATTATTTTTTTTAACGAATGTAAGATTTGTTTCATTTTTACTATTACATTGGACAGAAATAAATAAATGTTTTTTTTTTCAAGTTAGACTTGCATGTACTATTTTTGCATAGTACATTATTCTGTAATATCAATCTCTAAAAAATCTAATTGTTGCCATGTATACAATAAAACTCAAAAAGAGACATTCAAACAGAATACTTACTCTCATAAGTAAAATCGTCCATCTCTTTAAAAATATCCAATAGGCTTGGTTTTTGCATTTTGAAGTTATTCATTTTTATTATCGGTGTAACATCTGTAGCAAACATCAGGATCTCATAGTTTGGGGAGACCGGGTAATAACTCATCTTTTGGGAAAGAGCATTGAGAATTCAAAGATGGAAACAACACCTGTCTGTTATCCGATCAAAATGCTGGATTTCAGTGCAGTTAATGTTTCCATGATGTGAAACAGGATTTTCACTGAGATGCAGCAAGTATGTAGTGGATTGTGGGAGAACTTCCTGAAACACACTAATGCTCATATTGGAGGTTTCTGACAATGATGAGGAGGTTAAAAGTCAAGTTCACTCTTTAGAGCATCTCAGTGTATCACAATGGTAATTTTTACTTTTTAAAATATTTGTATATATATTATCTCAGAACCTTTAACATCAAAATGAACAACAATTAAAATACTGCTTTTAGATTGTAGGAAAGACTGCATTATACATCAATAGCCTAAACTTCACTTACAGCAACCTCTGAGGATTTAACAATCGACATACCTTGTCTAAAAGCATTTTAATGGTGATTTTTGCATTGTCAAAATCCTTCTCATCTATGCTGTCAGATGCATCCACAGCAATGTAAATATCAAGTTTTCCACCTTGATCCAAAGTTATTTTCTTCCCCTGCTGCTCTAAAGACAGAAGGAACACAGAATTCATGTTTAAATGTGTGGATGTGATTTTGTCTCTTTTTCTGAGCATGGCAACTATTAACGAAGATTTTAAAAAGGTGTGTGTGTGTGTGTGTGTGTGTGTGCATGTTTATGTGATTTATGATGACACAAATTTGTATAATGACATGGGTATTACAACGTGAAGGTGCTTTATGAGGACACTTTCGGTGTCCTTGTAATTCAAAAGGCTTATAAATCATACAGAATGAGTTTTTTTGAAAATCTAAAAATGCACAAAGTATTCTGTAAGGGGTAGGTTTAGGTGTAGAGTTGGTGTTGGGCAACAGAAAATACCGTTTGTACAGTATAAAAACCATTATGCATATGGAGAGTACCCATAAACCATAAAACTCAGTGTGTGTGTGTGTGTGTGTGTGATTAATACTTCAAGTGGTACCTTCTTTTTCAACTGCTAGATTTGTCTTTAGAGAACTGCTGAAAGCTTCTGATGCTTCCTCTGGGGTGTCGTATGTGAAATAAGCTGTACAGTATTAACACAACAACAACAACATTATAGGTGCATTATCCAGAAAAGCTACTTTTTATTAGCTAAATCTTAGGGCCAAAAACTTATTTTTGAGAAAACAAGTACTACAAAACTCATGATTTTGAAATTACGATGTAGCTATTAGAAGACTCACCGTAACATTGTGGCTCTGTTCCTGACCACTGGGGACCATCCTGACACACTCGCACTTTGGAACCAATCAAGGTCAATGGACTCTCGCAGAGGTACGTGACTTTGTCGTCTATGTTAAACATGTTCCCTGTTCGACTGCTACCAGGGGGAACACCAGGATCAGGACAGTGATCAGCTGTGAGGCATTAATAAACGGACAAATGGAAATTTTACGTTTGAAAACTACATTTCAGTTTAAATCAGACTAGTTCATAGAAACTGCTGTGTGTTTACATATTGACAAAGTAATAGAGATTACTCACAGTCACGTCCACAAATTGGTGTGCTTCCACTCCACTTCCCATTTGGCTTGCAAACACGGACTGCTGAGCCACGGAACTTATAATCGGAATGACATGAGTAGGTGGTTGTGTCATTTACATAGTACTTGTCTTTATATGGAATCACCTCTCCATTCTTGAAAACACGAGGATTGGGACATGTGATCTCTAGAATAAATGCATGAATAAACACATACTGTAGAAGAGTATAACAAAAATAAATAAGTCCAGCAATTATTCATGATATAATGATACAAATTAATGCCTTGTTTCTTACTTTTGCACTCTGGGGTTTTACTGATTTTGATCTTTGAGGTCCAGTGTTCATCTTGACAATGACGTGACTGAACTGATGGGTAATATCCATTCGGACAGATGTATCTTAGAAGACTCCCATGTGAATAGCCATTAGAAAGAACAAAGGTCCCTCCAGTAATGTTTAGATTCTCTTTGGGACATGAACCGTCTCTTTTGGACATCGAGGATGGAGCACCTGTAGTGGAAACAGATCAGTGGAGAAGGCCATGAAAAATATGACAGAAGTAACTTTTGTCAGTTGTTGCTGTTTTATTTCCATAAAAAAAAAGAAAGAAAAAAAGAAACAAGCCAAACTAGTTTTGTCTGTATTTTAGAATGCATTAATTTTAATAAGCAAAAAGACCTACCTGCAATAATAGGACATATCATTGCAAGCGTTAACCATTTCAACCGCTGCTTACACTCCATGCTGTTTATTCCAAGTTGAGCTGAGATTTAAAAAACACACACACAGGCAAATGGACAGGGGGACATTTTTATAGTGAGGTCAGCAGGAGGATTTTATTTACATTCAGTGGTCAATGTTTAACCTCAAGTCAAATAAAGAAAATCAATTTCCTGGCACACACAACAAAATAATTACCATCATTCGCACGCCATTATATATTTAACAATCACAAAATAACTAATTATGTTAAAACCTAAATTACAACTGTCATGGATTCTATTTGCTTTTTTTTTTCATTAAAATACAGATGTAGAAAACAGCTGAATTGTTAGGTGAATAGTGTCACAGAATATTGATTTTTAGGGTTAATAATTTGGTCTTGGGTCCAGAGAGCAACTCAAACTCAAGGGGTCATTTAAAAAATTGAATTGAATATCTTTATTGTCACTGTGCTAGTACAATGAAATTGAATACAATCCTTTGGGTGCATAGTCAAACAAAATAAATAAATCTATAAATATAATAAATAGTAAACAGATAACAGGATCACAAACACACCATTACACATGTAGCCAAGCCACTAGGAGGCGCTGTTGTACCTATGATGGTATGCAGGATTTCCCTTTAAATACGCACTTCCGATCAGTAGATGTGTTGCGTTTCAATTGTTTGGCGCGCAGGTGGTTGTCTGTCGCTGGAAGATGTAATGGCTCTTTTAGTGATTTTTAGATGTCTTAAACTCTCGTGTTGGTTATCTTGGGCTGGAGGAGTATCAAGACGCCGAACGAGCAGCATAGCATACTGCACGGGAACATTGACGATCTATGGTAGGGCGGTTTATGGTATAAAACGATGAACAGTATACCTGTGTACACACTAAGCTGACACCCTTTTATACAAGAGTGTTAAAAGAGTCATTTCTTTTCTAGGAAGTATATGGTGACGATTGTAGCCCTTTAATGGTGTGTGATCAGCTAAAGTCTCAAAGGTATTTATTTTAAATGTTATTGTGAGGCTAGTATACCTAGCATTTTAATATTGTTGACTAATAAATTTATAGATAGTGGTTTCTTTTTGAAATTGTAATGTTTGTTTTTCTGTTTATATTGTGTAATCTAAATGAGCTGTCCTGAGTGAGGTTGGACTGCATAACATTGGTTAACAAATTGTTTTGTTTAATGTTTTCTCTTTTTAGAGTTGTTTTGGTCCAGCTCAATTGATCACTGTTTTCCCTGCCTTGAAATTGTATTTTCTTTGTTTCTGTGAATTGTTTATTTTGTTTCCTTTTACTTTTTGGCCCATGACTATTGGTTATCGTTTGGTCCGTTTATTTTACATGCCAATGAGGCCATTACTGGCAGCTTACTCATTGTAACTATATAGGGAGGAAGTATATGACTATCATTCACATGTGTGCTGTGGGGTTTTTTTGTATTTCATGCTTTGAGGTGCTATGTATGAGAATTTACGTTAGTTTTTTGGGTTTATTGTATTAATCAATTATTTGTTAATTTCATTTTTATTTTCTTTGAGAGTGATATTATCCTCTGCCGTTATTTGTGTCTCCATCTTGCATGAGTAAACTTAGCCAGCTTGGAAGTGAAACTACTTGATTAATAAAATCGAAACTGCATCTATAGTAATTCTGTCTTAAGGATATTCTTTTATTTGAATAGCCGTGCGGGAAAACCCCTTATATGACCTGGGATCTCCTACCCAAATAAAATTGGAGTGGCGTAGTCAAGAATATAGGAGTATTTGCTCTCTGATCTACCACACACACAAAAGACATCTCACGTTCAACAGAATCAGTTAGTTACTGCAGTATTCAAAACATATGGCTTAAACATAGAAAACTGTTAATCTTACATTCAACTGAGTTGCACGACTCATTCAATATTGCACATAATGTTAAGTTATTCAGTATTCAAAACAGATGTGACTTGGCATGTAAACTATTAATCTCACATTCAACAGAGATGAACACTTCATCTTTAACAACGCACATGATGTTCAACTTACGTTATTACAGTATTCAAAACAGAAATAGCTTTGGCATAGAAACTATTCCTTAATCTGTTTGTTCGAGTTTTCAGAACCATCTACCCGAAGGTAACAATTCAAAAAGAGAATGTCCTGGGTGAGATTGGTCCTTGAGAATTTTTTTGAGCTTTCATGAGGCAGCGAGAAAGGCTGTGATTGAACGCTTCTTTTGCTTGACCTTATTCCTGAGTCGTACAATGTAGGGTAGAGTGGGAGAAAACGACCCCCTTAAGGACTGTGTAATTTTTTTCTGTGAAACAATAGATGTGTCAAGAATAGTTAACGTAGTTTTAGTGACAATAACATAAATTATAGAGGGGAGGGCACAACCGATTACCTTCTGGGCTGTGGTGATGATCCTCTGGAGTACTTTCCTTTCTGCAGCAGTGCAGCTGGAAAACCACACACAGATGCAGTAGGCCTGTCAAAATGCTCTCAACAGAACAACGGTAAAAGGACACCAACAGGTTTTGCGTGAGCTGGTAATTCCTGAGTATTCTCAGGAAGTGCAGTCTCTGCTGTGCCTTCTTGATGATAGTAGTGGTGTTGACACTCCAGGTCAAATTGTTCTCTATGTGAATGCCCAGAAACCGGAAGTACGAGACTCTCTCCACACAATCACCACTGATGAAAAGAGGCTTAATGTCCATTTTCCTCCTTCTAAAATCTATGATCAGCTCCTTGGTGTTGTTTAAGATCAAGTTGTTTTCTGTTCCACCTCATCCCGGTAGGCGGACTCATCCCCCCCCAGAGATGAACCCCACCACAGTGGTGTCATCAGCCAACTTAATTATGGTGTTACTGGAGTGGATGGGGGTGCAGTCATGTGTATAGAGGGTGTAGAGTAGGGGGCTCAGCACACAGCCTTGAGGAGAGCCAGTTCTGAGGCTGAGGGCTGAGGAAATACAAGAGCCTATTCTTACCCTCTGTGATGACTGTTAAGAACAATTTTATTACTATATCAAAACATTCACCCTCTTTTTTTTTAATTGCTGGAATCACACATTAACACAAGCTACTGAATGAACATTTATTGATACATTAATAGCACATTATCAATGCACTGAAAGTATGACAGGTGGTATGAAGGTGGAGGTAAATAGGCATGCTGTATGACAAATAGTAATTTATATTTTAAATTTAGAATTAAAATCATTTCGTAAAAGCTAATATAGATATAGGCAAAATACTTATCTTTGGAACCAAACAATGTGTTATTGACTTTGCTGGCAATAATAAACACATGACCTATTTTCATGGCATCTGTTTTAAGTCTTGGTTTCATTACAGAGAGGGAAAAAATGACTAACACAAGGAGAGAAGTGATTATGGGAAATTATTAATTCCTAATTGGTAAGATAATGAGTTTGTATTTTAACATAAACTACAAACACAAAGGTTGGATATGTAAGGGAAAATGTATTATGCTTCTTGGAGTCCTGACACTGTCCTTCCCACAATATTCCTGTTTATTATGACACTTTGTGCGAAAGACAGATAGTACATTAGCCAGTAGACAATCTTTATTCAAATGTTAATAAGGTTTTGTGAAGCTTCTGTAGTAGTGCACATAATTCTATGTAAAAACATAATTTAGAAGGTTAAATTGAATACATGGGGTATTATATTTCAATACAGAAACCGGGTATTTTGAGGTCATTATAATCTAAGCAGCTGACTGTACATTTTATAGATTATGTTCTTAGTTTAGAAAAGTGTGAAAAATAAAGATTCGTCTTTTCAAAATTTCTTTTGCTTGACATTATTCCTGAGTCGTACAATGTAGGGTAGAGTGGGAGAAAACAACCCCCTTAAGGACTGTGTAATTTTTTTCTGTAAAACAATAGATATGTCAAGAATAGTTAACGTAGTTTTAGTGACAATAACATAAATTATAAACCAAGTATGAAAAATTTACTAAGAGTTTTCATGTTATTAGATTTTTAACAAAAATTAAATTTGTACCGGGGCGTTTTGCCCCACAGGCGGTGTAAAATACCCCCATGGGTGGGGTAAAATGCCCTCAGTCTGACAAAGCAATTTGCTTTATACATTTACAGCTAAATAAGAGTACAGCAAGAAGCAGCTTAGCTACCTCAATATGCCTCCTCAGATTTGAGAAGCTTAGGAAGCCAAAACTTTCCCTGATGAAAGCTATAGGAAACTGAAACACGTGTACTTTATGCGTGAAAACAAAGATCATTGGATCATTGGGATGGGGGGGTTTGGGCAATCACAAAATTGGTCTGATATTCCATTGAGCTCCATATATTTTTATTTTTTCTTAGCCTACCGCCTGCTTGCGCAACGTGTGTGTCCACTCCCGTCCACACCCGCAAACATGCTAATAATTTTCATGCATCAGTTAGCCGCTAGACCTATCAATATGCGCGTCATTAATATCGCATCTGAATGAGCGCTCGCACTGCTTAATTTCACTTTCGATTTCGCAGTCACACACACACACTCTGTAGAGTACATAAGATAAGATATTTTTCTTGATATTTTTTTCATTTTTACTTATAGAGATAATTCATCAAAAATTTGCCATGCTAAGTGGAAGATTTCTGCCAAGATTTCACCTGGTAGAAAAAAAATTATATTAAAATGAATGTCATAATTCCCACTATGACCACTAGATAGTAGCAGAGGATAATTTATTGTCTCATTTACCATTTCCACTCTAGAATATAGTTCTTTTCACATGTTTTGCTAATGGATTTATATTTAGACATTATAAAATCACTATTATAGCATTTAAAAATCTCTTTATTGTCAAAGTTCAGCATTGACCCCCCCAAAATAAGCACTGAGGTCTGGCGGGGGCTGATGTTTGAGAAGTCGCCTGGTTGGCAGGCCGGAAGAGTCTACGTACTCCGGTGGGAGCCGATTGTATAGCCCTACCAGGAGGTTGCCCTACTGGTTGACAAGCCCCTGCTGATCAGTGGGCAGAGGGCAAATGGCTGACCGAGAGGGCCCATGAAGCCTCCGACTGGAGATCAAGACTCAGGACGACGGACATGTGGGTCCTTTCGGTTTGGCAAGGTAAAAAGGCTTTGGGCCGACCAGCAAGGAGGACTCTCATGACATCCGACGGGAGATCAGGACTCATCAGATGGATAAGTCTCGCTTGCGGGCAGCAAATATAGAAGCCCAACCTGGAGTACTCTCGCCGACATCTGACGGGAGATCAAGACTCACTGCATCAGACGGGTAAGCCTCGCCGGGCGGGGAGAGAGAAAAGGAAAACCCGACTGGGAGGGCTCTCGCAGCATCCGATGGGGTATCAGACTCAGAACATCGAACGGGTAAGCCTCGCCAGGCGGGGGGAAAAGAAGCCTCGCCAGGTGGGGGGAAAAGACGTGAGGTTAGCTGAGAGGGCTCGGACAGCGTTCTGCGGGAGGTCGAGACTCATGGCGTCAGACGGCTAAGCCTCGCCGACCGTCGAACGGAAAGGTAAAGGTGTGTGGCCGGGAGACTCTCACCGGCATCTGACGGGAGCTCAATACTCACAGCATCAGACGGGTAAGCCTCACCGACCGTAGAATGAAAAAAGGTAAGGTTGTCTGGCCGGGAGGCTCTCGCCGACATCCGACGGGAGCTCAATACTCACAGCATCGGACGGGTATGCCTCGCCAACCGTAGAAAATAGAAAAGGTAAGGATGTCTGGCCGGGAAGCTCTCGCCGACATCTGATGGGAGCTCAATACTCACGGCCTCAAGACGGGTAAGCCTCGCCGAACGTAAGATGGAAAGTTCAAGCTGTGTGGCCAGGAGGCTCTCGCCGGCATCCGCCGGGAGCTCAATACTCACGGCATCGGACGGGTAAGCCCTGCCGACCGTAGAATGGAAAAGGTAAGGTTGTGAGGCCGAGAGGCTCTCGCCGGCATCCGACGGGAGATCAAGACTCACGGCATTGGATGGGTAAGCCTCGCCAACTGTAGGATGGAAAAGGTAAGGTTGTCTGGCTGGGAGGCTCTCACCGGCATCCGACAGGAGATCAATACTCACGGCATCGGACGGGTAAGTCTCGCCAGTAGTTGAAAGAACACATTCACTTAACTGGGAAAGCTCTCGCAGCATCTAATGGGAGTTCAATACTCGTGGCGTTGGACGGGTAAGCTTCGCCGGTGGTTGGACTGAAAGGCCCAGATTTGCTTGACCGGAAGGCTCTTGCGGCGTTCGACGGGAGTTCATTCC